GAGGCCTTCCCAGTCAGTGAGGACCTTAGAAGGTCGTTCTGATCACCAGCCACTGGAAGTGCTCCAGGCCTCAAAACTTCTTCCAGAAAGAAAAGCAAAGTCACCCAGGCGGTATCTTGGTTCACCCCGGTGGCAGCCAGGCAAGAGAAAGGTGGGGATTTTGTTTTGTTGGAATCAGAAACTCATACTATAGCCCAGGCTGGCCTGGAATCTAGGTGGCCCTCCTGTCTCGGCCTCCCAGGTGCTGGGATCATGAGGGCATACCACCACGCTAGTTTGAAAGGTGGGTAACTCAAGAGCAGGGGTCACACAGGCACAGGCTAGTCCCCTCTGCCTTCCAGAGCTGAGTCTCAGCTGCCTTCTTTGCAGTCTACAAAAACAATGCCCTGCCGACTGGAGGTGGAGGGTACCTGGAGAAGCCACTGAGCACCCAAGTGTTCCCAAGACAGTTTCCCATAGACAAGGCAGCAGTCACCCACGGAACCAAAGGCTGATTTGTAGGAACGTGTGGAAGGAGGCAGCTCCCTCTACCCAGGTGTCCCTGGCATCTGGCTTTTGCCACCTTTTCTAGGGGAAGAAGCTAGTTTGAACTGCTCACATTCCAATTTAGAAACCTACACATTTTCCAAACCTTGCCCAACTGAATCCCACTCTCCTGACCTGTTGGAGCAGGTCTGGAGACCTCCACCATTTTCTAACCAGTTGGTGATTATGCCCCACATAGGCCAAGTCCCCACACCCTGGTCACAGGCCTGTCTCTCTGGATCTTTTCAGGGAAACACATCCATACCTTTTGTGCAAGGACAGGCAAACTGCCTCGTGGGCAGTGTCCTGGTGTATAATGAAGGGCTACAAGCTAGGCAACTTAACCCGAGGTTCATGCTCTTCTGGTTCCGGAGGCTACAACCCTACGTAGATGAGTCAACATGAACTACCCTCCACCTCGCCTCCTCCAGGAAGACCTGCTGCTTCTGGTTGTTGGTGGCCCCAGAGACTCCTTAACTTAAAACTACATCACTTTACTCTCTGCCTCTATCTCCCCCAGCCCCACAGAGGGCCTTCAAGGCATCAAATGTACCTGTTTCTCTCTTACATTGTCCCAAACCCACAATGACCTCATCACCAGATCCTTATTAATCTCAATATATATGAAAAGACTCTGCAGTTTAAGCCAAGCACGGGTCCGAGTGGACTTTGCCTAAGGATTTTCTTTCTTCCTTTTTTAGGGGGGAGGGGCATCACTTAACTCACTACAGTGGGACTCCCAAAGCACCTGCCTGTGATTCCAGCACGTGGGGACATGCCCCTGCTTATCATCCTGTGCCCCAACCCCAGGGTTTTCCAACTTACCTGAAAATCTTCCAATTTGAGATGGCCAGCCAATGCTGACCAATGACATGTGTAGCACGGACTAGCTTCCTAGGCATTTGGCAGAGGCAGGAGAATTGCCTAGATTCAAGGCTGGTCTGGGTTATAGTGTGAGATTCTGTCTCAAAAATAACAATGATACTAATCACCACCTTTCTCTTGTTCCTAGGCAGGAGTCCTTGACATGTGTACCCCCACCCCCTACCAGAAAGAAGTGCAGACATCACCAATGTTTCTAGTGCTGCCTGTGGCTACAGGGTTACCACCAAGAAGTGGGTTTGAGAGCTGTAGCCAAGTCACCAGCAGTCAGAGGGACAAGCCTGGACAGGAGCTGGGAAGCAGGGCCGAAGGCAAGGGCCTGACCACGGGGGAGGATGTTTTTTTTTTCTTTCTTTCTCTCTTTCTTTCTTTTTCTTTCTTTCTTTCTCTCTTTCTTTCTTTCTTTCTTTTTCGACAGGGTCTCTTTATGTAACCCTGGCTGAACCTATTTATTTATTTATTTATTTATTTATTTAGACAGGGTCTCTTTATGTAACCCTGGCTATCCTGGAACTTGCTATATAGACCAGGATGGGCCTTGAACTCACAGAGATCAGCCTGCTTCTGCCTCTTGAGTGCTGGGATTAAAGGTGTGTAACACCATGCTTGTCAGGACAGGTGTTTCTTTTTGTTTGTTTTGTTTTGTTTTTCGAGACAGGGTTTCTCTGCGTAGCTTTGTGCCTTTCCTGGAACTCACTTTGTAGACCAGGCTGGCCTCCAACTCACAGAGATCTGCCTGCCGCTGCCTCCCGAGTGCTGGGATTAAAGGTGTGCACCACCACCGCCCGGCAGGACAGGTGTTTTTACCAAGAGAAAAAGTGGCAAGAAAGCATCCGGTCAGGCAGCAGGGTTTCCTAACATTAGTGAAGGTTGCCCATCTACCGAGTTCCTTGAATCCCTATGGAGCTCTTCCCTGTAAGGACTTGGACAGGGAGGATGAGGTGAGAGACCCTGTTTTCCCAGCCAGTTTCTTGCAGACCTGGGCTTTGCATCTCTGTCTGTTGTGTGCACATGCAAGTCACAGCCTAGTCACCTTGTGTAATTGAAGACAGTGAAGGGCCTCTTCCAGGACGGCCAGGTCACCAAGGGGCTTGAGGAATGGGAAAGAGTGTCATGTGGGATAGGGAAGAGGGGTGTCCTTCGTAGAGCCCCTGCTTCTAGAGCAAGGTGGCCCATAAGTCTGCAATCTCTGTTGTGGCCTTGGGGGTTGTCTGAGGAGGGACAAGGTCACAGGCATGGGTGGTGGTCAAGGCAGTTCAAGATGTGGTGGGGCAGATCTCTCCACTTACACATGGGTCTCTCTGTCCCCACCCCCCACATGGGGACAGGCCACCTGCTTCACTACGAGAGACATTCACTTGCTGTTTCCAATTTGCCACTCCAACCTTTGAGCTTTGGACCTGCGGTTTATTAATAATGTGAATTACCTGGTAGAAGGGCAATGACAAAATCAGGGCAAGACACTTATCTTTCCCCTCCCCTGCAGGACAGCCCCACCCAACTCTCAGACATGTTCCCCTGGGCCGTGGCTCCTCCCCAGCACCCCACTTAGCCTGTCATGTGAGGAAGGCGGTAAACAGCGGGTGGCATGAGAACCTGTGCAGGCCCCCATTTGCATCTTGGGGTCTGCTTTGTGGTGTGAAGGGGAATGGGGATGGGATCTGCTCAAGACAACCCCCAATGCTCACCTCTGGGCTGCTTGGGACTCCCTGAGTCAATGTTAGTCATCCTGAGCCAGTAGCCAGTAGGTCCTTCTTGGGACTCCATGGGTACAACCTGAACCTCATACTCCGGGTTCTCAGGGCTGGGATTGTATGACCTGGGTTCATGTCCATCCAGGTCTCCTGTGTCCTCCCTAGGAGGATTTGTGGAAGTGAGCCTTGACTCCCTCCTTTTCATGTGCTGGACCTCCAATGGTCCCACAGAAGCTGTCACTAGGAGGCGTGGGGCCTTGCTGTGTCTGGCCCTTCCTTTTCGCCAGTGGAGTGGCAGCAGGCCATCTGACCTCACGCCTCCTCTTGCTGGTGCTGTAGATTCCAAACTTCCCTACCCTTCCTGGAGTTTTTAAGAGTCCTAGGACTACTCTGCTTACAAACCACACCTAGGCCCTGTACCTAGTCAGTGACGCCTAGAGCTCACCTCCCACCCACTCCCTGACAAAAATCCTACAGGACCCTCCCACTGGGGAATGGTTGGGGCCAGACTATCACCAGTCACAGGGCAGACTTGAGACTGGTGTGAGATGGGGGTGGGGTGGGGAGGCAGACAGACATGACCACAAGGGTGTAGGGGTCTGTGAAGGGTTGTGGAAGGGACCCCAGCCTTGCCAAGGCCCACAACGTTTAGCAGCTGCTTACTTGCATGGCTCAAGTATGGGCTAGCTGACTAGCCCCATCTCCAAGGGCAGGACGCTGAACTGCTGGGGCTGCTCCTCATCTCGGAAGTTCTGACGGAAGCCAGTCCTAGCCTGAAGATCAGGACCTGTAAGCCCCATACAGTGGATCCCTGGTACATTTTTCGTCTCAACATGCATATTTGTATGTTACTGGTTTGCCCTTCCCAGAGCCATGCAGATTCTCATGGTCAGGAACCTCAACCTGGATGAGGTGCCTCTCTGTGTGTGTTCCTAAAATAACTGTTACCAGCTGCATACGGGGGTGGGGGGTGGGGGGTGGGGAGGTGGGGGGGTGGGTGGGGGAGCAGGGAAGGAGTTGATTTGCAGCTTCCCTGCAAGCCTTCTTGATGTGCTAGGAACCACTGGGGCAGAAATGAAGACGGGAACAGAGACCACACAGGGTCCTACAGCTAAGGCACAGGATCCACCTTTACAAGACACTGACTTTCAGGTCTGTGTATTTCCCGGGGTAGTGTTGATTGGTTGCTTCTGATTACAAAATAAATACATTTCAAGAGAAAACTGAGAAATAGGAAAAATTATAAATGGCATAAAATTCACCTATCCTTCCATTACCCTGGTTCCAGGGTCCTTGGACTGTTGACCCAAGAGCAGACCATTCACTACAGTCCCCAGGGTCCTTGGACTGTTGACCCAAGAGCAGACCATTCACTACAGTCCCCAGGGTCCTTGGACTGTTGACCCAAGAGCAGACCATTCACTACAGTCCCCAGGGTCCAATGTCTTCACCACTCCAAACCTTCACACACAACGCAGGGAGGAGCCCACATTCTAAACCAGACTCACTGCTGCCATTCATCATCAGGCCTCAGAAAAGCCCCCCCGACTTATCCTCTGGGAATCCCTTGAGGACTGATCCACAACCCACCTGCTCTGGAGTCACCACAAGGCCCTCTGTAGGAGGGTCCTTTATCACGACTAAGGCTTGGTCTGGCTACTCAATGCCTGGAGTGGGACCTTTCTCAGGATGACCAAGAATTCTCAGGAGGTTTGCTCCACACTGTAGCCAGGCCAGACAGAGTTACACTGGGCGTCTGCTGCCAGCTGCACTTGAAATCCGAAGGGAGGCTGAGGAAGTCAGCTGCACCCTACACAGATCCCTTCACCTAGTCACTTTTTACCTCCACCACTGGCTACAGTCACTTTAACAGAAAACTTGAACAAAGTTGGTTCTGACCTTAGACTTCGGGCTGAATTTTCATCTCTCCTGCCTGCCCCTCGGCACATGGCTGGGGAGACTGCGGCCAATATCTGTTTAAGAGTTAACCAAGGCCGAAAGGCCAAAAAGCCAAAAGGCAGGCAGTTCTCGTTCTGAGACCCACTGATCCTCTGGTCCCGTGGTCACCACGGGGTGTGGGTTCGAACAAAGCCGTGTTCATCGAAGCCCTGGGCCTGATGACAGTGGCACAAGGACCCCATTCTCTGCTGTCGCCAGCTGCGTCCCCTCCCCCAGAGGGCCTGACATCAGAAGCTCTGGGTCAGACATCCTGGGAGCCCCCACCCTTGGGGCCAGCCTCAGCTGCAGGCACTCAGGGAGATTCACAAGGGGGCTGGCTGGGAATAGGCGTGTGTGTGTGTGTGTGTGTGTGTGTGTGTGTGTGTGTGTGTGTGTGTGTGTGTCCCCAGCCTGAATGGTGCAGCAGCTGCGGTTGGCTCCTCCTGTCCACAGCAGGAAGCTGCTTGCATTTTTACAACCGATTTTTGAACCTAGGAGTAGAGGTTCACTTCAAGCCTGTTAAACGTAACCTTGTTGGTTTCAGGCCAACCTGACCCTTTGGAATCTGGCTTCCAGATTCCCACTGTATATCAGCTATTCCTCCAGGCTCTGAGAGGGAGAACTGCCCTGCTAGGCTTTATCCCAGGGACTCAGACAGGGTGCTGAGTGTAGCCTTCAGAGGGGCTGATCCCGGAAAATGGACTTCTGGAACATTCTTCTTTGGGTGTGGTGGTCCAATACACCCAATGCTGGTCTCTAGGCCCACATATTTCTGTTCTTGGCTTATCAAGGTGAATGACGGAACTCCATGAGTGTCAGGACCCAGGACCAAGCGTCTACATATCCAGATCCTGGGTGAGGACAAGTTACTTGTCAAACTGCCTTAATTTAGTGATTGTAAAATGCGAATCATCCTCTCCCTAGGTGGGTCCTGAGAAGTCTGGAGTGTTCACAGAGGTAGATCTGACACTCACATTCTCATATAGGTCCAAGAGGCAAGCAAGGTATGAGTTGGCTCAAGCCTCACCCCCTGGAGCCCAGGGGCGCTCTCACTGAAAGCTCAGACCTCAGTCAGTTGTGCCAGCACAGCCCAGGTGGCATCACCTAGCCCGGAGCGTCTAGGTAATATGTGGCCCGGGGCAGCTGGGCCTAGGTTTCCCCACCGGGCCCCTTAGGGCATTGTCCTGGCATCCTCTTGGAGTGACCTTCCCCTAGACGCTCTAACAAAGGCTGAAGAAGAGCGGCTCCTTTAAGGACTCAGCGCAGTTCAGTGCCAGGAGGTACCCGGTGCGCCCCGGGGGAACCGTGCAGCAGGCAGCGGAGGGGAGTGGGCGCTAGTGTCCAAGGTGGGGGCGGGGTGCTCTGCTCTGGATGGGGTGTTCTTGGGAGCCGGGGCTTGGGCGAGCACCGGAGATGTCCCATGGGTCCGGGGCCTCCGAGCACATTCCACTCGGGTGCCTGGCTCCAAAATCCCACCCGAAATGCAGCTGCGAGTGGGCAGGCTATGAAGTGTCGCAGTCCCCCCAGCCTACCCGTGTTGAGAAACCAGATGGAAAGAAGCCTCTGGCCCAGGCTCTAAACTCCAGGCAACCACTGTCTTCCTCCCGCCCCAACCCCCTCCCCGAAAAGCGCGAAGAGCCGATGTGGAAGAGAAAGAGATTAGATTTCGCTTCCCTCTCATCAATTTTCTGTTTAATGTCACCAGGCCCCATTGTGGGAGAGGAAAGCACGTCACCCAGGCCATAAATTTGTGGTTATGGTGCCTCTGGCCGCTTTCCTCCTCTCGGGGACAGGACTGAGCGACGAGCAGGTGGTGACACCCGCGCCTGCCCACTCCTTCTCCGGATGCGGGTCCGGGTAGCTAGCTCCACGAGAGAGATACGCTCCCCGCCGCGGCATTTCCAAAGAGCTTTTGTTTATGACTCGGACGTAGAGGCTTTGATTTTTTTTTAACCGCCCACCTCTGGAGGCTTTTTGTTTGCATCTGAAAATCCTGCTACCCCGTTCGCTCGAATTGTGCCTCCCTTGTAGTGTGCAGGGAAGCGCAAGAGGTCTCACGCTGGGTTCCCAGTGCCACACTGGGACTGGTACAGAGCTCTGCATTCTGCGCTGCAGCATCTGCCCAGGTGGAGTATGCTAGAAAGTGGGTGGGAGAATTGGAGCGCTCAGTGATGGCCCCTAGGCAGGTTTCTCTGGCCATCCTGGATTCTGGTGAAGAGGTTATCCCGGTAGTTTCCTTTTGGGGCCACTTGTGGAAATGTCCCCTGGAAGTCTCCTATCCCTGCTGGCATTGATGTCTGAGAATTAGGGTGTTATGTGTATTCACACGCATTAGGAAAAAATGGATCTATTGACTTATTTTTAATTTAATGGATCAACTGTCCTGTTAACAAAAAGAGACGGTGGCCATGCCACACTTCAGCCAGGAGCCAGCAATCAGGTGGCCCATTTGCCTCCAGGCTTGAGACAGAGCTTTGCCACAGGACCTGATGCTCAGTGGGAACTTGGAGGGAAATTTTATTTGGCTTATAAATATTGAAGGTAACCAAGCCAAGGGCTCAAATCTCCCCAGAAATTAGAGAGAAAGAGGACAGTGTGCGTCTCATACCACTGGTGGAAACCCCCAGGAAGGGGTCTTCTGCTGAGTGTCAAGTCCTAGGCCCAAAGCGGGACTACCACCAGAGAGCTAGGGGTAGAGGGAGGCAGAGCTCCAGAACAAGAGTGTCCCATGGCTGTGGGGTGTTCCAACCAGGTCCCCTCTGTGGGGCAGAAACGGTGGTGGCGAAGTCTGGCTAAAGCCGGGCTTGTCACAGTATGGGAGGTTGAAAGGAAGAGAACAGGAGACGGTCGGGTGACAGGACTGGGGGGTAAGGAGCCGGAAGAACTGAGATGGCAAGAGGGGCAGAACTGCAAGCCCTGGACCCCGAGTTCAGCAAAGCTGCATCCAAGGAGTCCCCAGCACGGTGAGACCAGGCAGCAGAAATCTGGCTCCAGAGAATCACCCCAGACACAGCCTGCCATGTGCCCTGTGTGAACATATTTGCACACACTGAAATCTGTAACCCTGCAGCCACGGCACTTCCTTCCAAGCCAGGCCTGGCACAGCCAGCAGTGGAAGCAGGTGTCTCTGAGGGTTGAAGCCAGCTTCACTTTGGGGGCCACACCTGCAAGGAACACAAAGACTGACCAGGCACTTGTCCCTAAGCAAGGATGCTGAAGTCACTTAGCCATCCTGACCTATTATTGAGAAGCTCTCCGATTATCTGGGCTTTCCCTCCTGGGCTCCTATAATGGGCGCGGGGTGGTAGTGGTGGTTATTTCCTTACTGCCAAGACTGAGGGCTATCTGGGTCAGCCTAACAGGAAAATCAATCACTTCTTATTTAGCAGACCCCCAAAGCTATTCTCCCATGCCCCCAAAGCCTGCCCTGTTCTTCCAGAACCTTCTCAGGCTTAGCAGAAACCACATCCAGCCTTGGATGAAGAGACCTATAATGGGGAGGCCCAGTGTTCAGGCCCAGGAAGCTGCCTCCTCAGCCCTGGGGTGCGGGGGTGTCCTCCCACCTTCCTCCATCCCCTTTAGCACAAATATCACTCTATCACTAGTGAAAGGGCCAGGAGAAGCCTGGCAATAGATGCTTCTGCCCTTTATGAAAATCACTTTAATTTAACCCAGATGGGTCTCCTCACTGATAACCTCATGCAATGAGCCCTCTGAATTATGCTTTCCGTGTGAACACACTGGGTTATATTTAGCCACAAATTACGACTGTGTTTAACAAGCACCTTTCCTTTGCAGGGAGGGGGCTGGGCAGCCTCCTGACCTGGTTGGAGGAAATCAGCAACAACAGAATTTAAACCTCCCTGGGAGGAAGCTGCAGAGGCTGGAGAAGCTGTTTACCTGACTTCAAAGTGGTCTGGGGCTTTTCTCCTTGCCTTTTAAAACTTAGAAGCAGGTCTTAAGATCTGTCTATGGCCTTGAAGGGAAAACCTGTGCCTCCCACAGGGGTCCCTCCGGCTTGAGCCAGCTTCAATTTAGCAAAGTTCCTGGCTTGGTTTGGAGCTGTGTCAGGGAAATGCCTCAGGGATGATGTTGGCTAGGAGCACAGCCAGGCCTCCAGAGGTGTGTAGAGAACAGGGGACATTCAGCACGATAGATCGATAGACCGATAGACCGTATTGATAGGATAGGATCGTGCAATTCTTCTTTTCTGTTTCTGTGTTTTGCCCCTTCTCCAGTTGGGAGGGGACAGGGGCTGGGGGCTGGGATATCCCCAGAGAGCAAGGCAGCACCTCCTGCTCCCTCACCTCTTGTGCCCAGCTGAATAAATGGGCTGTTTGAAGTACTGTTCTTTGGGGGGCGAGAAGCCTGTTTATCTTGGGATTAGGGCATACCAACTCTCTTCTCCCCTTCCAGTCAAGTCTGTGCATAAACCTCATGCCTCAAAGACAGAAGATCTAGCAAAGAATGCCCATGCTCCCAGGCACAGAGCACCAAGCAGTTACCTTCGGGTGACCCAGGTAACTGAGGACTTGGCCACACTCAGACCTTTCTCCACAGTATTCCTTCTAGGACCTCGGGAGTACTTCTAGCAAGACCTTGCCATGGTAGAGGATTTTCACTGATCCAGGACCTCCTCTTCCAACCAGGCCAGTACCTCCGGAGGCTTTTGAATTTGACCCCTTTTGAGAAGAAGGGTGCAATATCCCAATGTCTCCAGCCGTCCTTTCAAGCCCTGATTCTAGATCGAGGATGGAGTTTGACTGTCATCTCACTGAGGGAGAAACAGGTGCTGTGAACCACCCCACCCCCAGTCCATCCTTCCCCAGCCTGGATTAAACCTTCGAGCTATTGTACTGCCCAGGTGCAAAACCCAGTTCCAGTCTCCCTCTGGGCCCTGACCCTCCAGACCAAGCTCCAGCCTTAGGCCTCTGGACCTGTCCCTTTCACTTCTGTGGGAAGAATTAAGAGTCAATTTTTTTGTCGTCGAGAAATTGTTTCTAATTTGCCCTTTGACTAATGGCCCAGGGAACAATGGAGAGGCACCCAACACACAATTACCCCGCAGTGCAGTTCTGCTGCTCCCTGGCCCAAGCATGCATTTATTTGGAGCAGCGACTAATTCACAATTTTATGTAACTTGAGATACACCCCCACCCCCTTGTATTAAAAAGTGATTATTTATTCAATGAGTTCACACAGTGGGCTCTGGGTCATTTGGGAGCTGGGAGGCCTAGGCCTGCTTCCAGTCGTCAGCCCTGTAGGGGCAGTGGGGACCGCTGGAGGCGGTACTAGGGTTTGTGGGTAACGGCTGCTCCACTACAGTCTAGTCCACTGTAGTTGAGAGTGCTTGCACATGTGTGGCGTGTGTCAGGGTGCTGTGTGTGAGACTCAAACTGTCCTTCTGAATTACATGGATTTGTTTTTGTGTGTGCCTGCACGCTGCCGACCTGCCTGTACCCATGTCACAAGTGTGAGGTCAGCAAAAAACCCGCAAGAGTCAGCTCTCTCCTTCTACCATGGAAGTACCAGGAGATCCTAACTCAGGTGGTCAGGTTTGGCAAGTGTCAGCCTGCTGAACCACCTTGCCAGTTTGCTTTTTTGTATGCATACAAATGTGGGTAGTGTGATGGGAGACTGACGTGTGTGCCCATGGTATATCTAGATATGGATGATGTGAGCCCACAGAATGTGCATGTAGACTGAGGACACATCCAAAACTGCACAGGTGTCCATGGGTACACATGCTATTGCTTGAAGTGTAATGTCTGTGTGGTTGTGCTCTGGTGCCAGGGCACAGCTGGCTATGTAGGGCACCCTAGCCTAGAGGAGACCATGGAGGGTATCTGTCAGGCTGTGGAAGTGGCCCAGGCATTCAGAGGCTATTGTGCCCTGGGCTAGTGATTGGGCATCTGTGACTGCAGCGTTAATAACCTACGATGTTTTAAGACTTCAGGCGACTGCACAGATTTGGACACTCCAAAGCAGAGACCTCTGGCTTATAACCCTGTCTAGTCTCCTCTTTCTAACCCTACCCACTCCTTTCCCTCTAGAACAGATTTCTCAACTCGTAGGTCGCGACCCCTTTAGCAACCCTCTAACTCCAAAAATATTTACATTACAATTCATAACAATAGCAAAATTACAGTCACGAAGTAGCAACGATAATAATTTTATGGTTGGGGGTCACAACATGAAAAACTGTATTAAAGGGTCACAGCATTGGGAAGGCTGAGAACCACTGCTCTAGAAGTACCCCGTTCCTCACGCCATGTTCTTCTAAAATTAAAAACACTTGTTAGTTTCGGACAGCAGGAAGTCAAGTAGGAAACCAGGATGGTTTGCTCTGAGCAGATAGCGAGCCCAGCCAAACATGCCCGGGCCCGCCCGGGAGGCCGAGCCCTGCGAGAGGAACACGGGAGCTTATTTTGGTCTTGTGGAACTGCCGGGGGCTGTGCGCCCGCGCTGGGCAGCTGCCAGCTGCTGGCGGCATCCAGAGGCATATCGGCAGCTATTTGCTGTAACAACTATTTTGAAACACTATTGAGAGGGAGAGGAAAAAAAGGCCACTAGACTTAAGTGAACGCTGGGGTTAGAAAGGACGCAGAGGTGGGAGCGAGACAGCAAGGAGCCGAGGCCTTTCACACCCGGGGAGCTTCTCAGGGAAGCGACACAGAAGGCGGGGGCGGGAGGGGTAAGAGGCAGCACGTGAGGCTGCTCGAAACAAATCCTCAAGCCTAACTTTTAGGGATCCAGAGATTAGGGATCCCCAAGATCCTAAACCGGCTTGCGGAGGAAAAGAAGCCTCACGTTCCCATGCCTAACAGGCCTTTCTGAACACGGCTGGATTACTGCCCTTCTGCCAGTCTCCACCCGCCGAGGAAGGGGGGTAGATGCGAGGCTCAGGGATCTTTCCGGCCAGGTCCAGACGACCCCCCGCTACCCACAGTGGGAGGGTAGGGTGCGGAGCGATCGAGGCGCGCCCCTCCCCCACCCCGGCCTTCCGGGTCCCACGAGCATGCAGCAGCTCAGAGGACCCAATGATTTTCCTTACACTTTTCTCTTTTTGAGGGTGAGGTGAGAGAGAATACTTTAAATGGGGATACAGTTAGACATAACGACTCTTAGATCGGAAAAATAAGATCTGGTAAGGAAAATGAGGAACTCGGATTCCAAACCTCGCAGAAAACCTACGGCTTGTCAGGGATGCGCGCGCCGACCGTGAGCGGACAGGGGTGCTCGCAGCGGTTTCTCCCGAGCCGGGACGCTCCTCCTCATGCGTGCGAAGCGGGAAACGGCTGCCCGCCGCCGGGCGGGACTGCAGCAGCGAAGCTCCTCTCAAGCCTGGCAGGACCTGTGCTGGCCGTCGGGGCACCACCGCGCACCGCGGGCCGGCGTCCTCGCCCATCCCGCACAGGCTGGCCTGCTTGGATCGCGTAGCGAACAGCCGCGCGCTCATCCGATCTCCAGCAGCTGAGCCTCCCCGCAGCTCGCGCTCCCCGGCGCCGCGGCCACCGCGCTGGCGAGGACCCAGTCCCCGCTGACCGCTGGGGTCCCCAGCCCGCAGCCAGGCTCGCGTGCCCTGTCCAGCGGCCTGGCGCAGCGCGCCGAGACCCGGGCTTACCTGGAGCGGGCGCCGGCCGAGGCCCCGTCCCGAACGGGCGGGAAATCCCGGAGTCCCCGCCCGCCGCCCCCACCCCAGGTCAGCGCGGCCCGCGGGGGGCCAGGCCGGCCCGGCAGTGCGCTCGCTTCCCCTTTCTCTCCAGATGCCTTTGATCCCCGGGCTCTCCGCCGCACCTCGGCTCGGGAGCCGCCTGGGTCGGCCCGCGGGGATCCTGGAAACGGTCCTCGGTTTATCTCCTTTCATCAAGCGGCCTTGGGCAGCCTTGAAACCGCGGAGCCAGTAATTGCTTTTTTCAGGAGGCCCTGTGCGGACTGGATAACAGCCAATCAGCGCCTTGTTTACACTTGGTGATGGACAGCCCGCTGGCCGAGTGCCAACCAATCATGGCGGTTCCGCAGAAGCGAGGAAGGCGGGGAAAGAGTGGCGACCACAGATCTCAGGTTTAACTCCTTTGTGTCCGCTCCGGAAAGAGACAGGAGAAATCCAAAGGAGTCTGGCGGTGTTGTTTGGCATCTACTTAAATATCCCCCCCCAACAAACGCGGAAAAAGAGGAGCAGGAATTATGTATTCATCGCCACTAAGACATCACCTCTACTCCTTGAAAATAAATAACATTTGGGTAGGCAACCAAATTCTAACCGAAATATTTGCTTGCAGAATATTTTTAAAAGTGGTTTTGGTTCTGATTATGATAAAGAGAATTGTTTAGAGGCTGTTTTCCATTGTAGTGAGAAATTTTGTGAATATGTAAGGACAGGCGCTGAGAAATGCTAAGCACGGTTTTCACACCATGACAACCACCCTAAAATTATCAAGTGAGGATATTTTTAAAATCTAGGAGCTGATGAAAAAAGTAAATCCTTATCTTAGCAACAGAGCCTTGATTTTCATTTCGATTGTTGCTGCGCTGCGGAGCGTGGCAGAGGGAGATAAAATTGAGAGCGGACAGATAGATGGCTGGAGAAGAAAGGTCCATCTCCCTGCCTCTCAGGCAGAGGGAGGAAGGGCCAGGCAAGCATTCATGGAGTTTGTGTGGCCACTCCTCAGACCCAAGTGTATTCTCCGGCTCGGGTGCGAGTGGGTGGCGGCCTGGGAGTGGAGGTACAGCAAGACAATCCGGCCTCTGCGCTTGGAAGTTGGGCCTTCTTGCATCCAGGTCACCTGCCAGACAGACCCCAGGCGTGGACACGGCTTCAGGTTTATGGCGTAAGGCTGTTCTTTTTATTCTGTGCAAAACAAATAAACAAAACCCCAAACGTTAGACCTGACAAATTAAGGAAAAACAGATCCCCGAATCTCCCCTGGACATGGACACGCGCTTTCAATCGCTCACTCGCCGGTGCTCCTCTCCCGCCCTGCGCCACCACATTCCCATTCAGCAGCAATGATCTGCGCAGAGGAGCTGCGCAGTCGCTGGGCTTGAATTAGGCGCCATCAGGCTTGGTAGTAGCCCTGCTGCTCCCTGATTGGCAGCTCCCTGGCCCGGCGCCAGCCTATTGGGAGGCCTGTTTACGCCGAATGAGTGGCACGAGCTCAGGGCCGTGGAGGGCCGCGCGGCCAATCAGCGCGCGGGCTGCTCCGGGTTGAGTGGCACGAGCTTATTAGTATGCAGGGCCCGTGGCTCGCCGCGCCGGGCTGCAGGTTTGAGAGCCGCTCTGGATGGGCTCGCTAGAGTCGTTGTTGTGGAAGCCGTGCATTCACAGTGCAACAGTCAGCACATTGAAAATACCAATAGGAATACAAACCAAAGTCACATTTACTGATTTAATTGTATTGCATTCAATTGTATCCAGGAAACAGCCTCCAGTAAGTAACTGAAATTGCTTTCATTTTTTAAAATTTTTTTGTATTTTTATTATTTTATTATTTTATTTTGGCTTTTGGGGATTTACATTTTTTAAGCAAAAGAAATTCAGGTTTGTGGTGTTAAGAAATAATAGATCTTCCCTTTTAAAATCCGTTATGATGTTGAAAGGTTTTTTTTTATAAAAAAAAAACCGATGGACTATATATATGAGTACGATATTTTTTTTCTCTGAAAAATTTTATCGATCGGTTTAAAATTCCCCCCGTAATGCGTCCTTGCTTTGCTCTGAGCGCTTGTTGTCTCGATCGACACCCTACATTAAAAATAAATTATCGAGACAGGACAGAGACCGCCACGCTTCGTTCAGCAAGAGCCCCGCGGGTAGCCCCGAGTGGGCAGTCAGTGAGAGCCCAGCTCTGGAGGAACCACGAGCGAACCCCAATTATTTGCTCCCCCATCCTACTCCCCTCCCCCAGCAGTCTTGAATGGGCCCCGCCCGGTCGCTCCCCCGCGCAGGGAACGGTCGGTTCTCGGTGGCCACGGCCGCTGCTTTCTGGGCCTCAGTGAGGGGAGAGGGGATTGGAGGGGTACTGGCGGGTTTTCAGGTTTGGCTCCCCACAGACTTAATTCTTTTCGGAACATTTCTTTCTTTTTTTTTTTTCTTCTTCTGGAGGAGAGGGGGTGGAGGAGGGGGGCCGAACAGTGGGGCGTTTTCACGCGGTGCGTTCTGGGCAGCACGCGGGCTCAAGGCCACGACCCGAGTGGCGTGGTCCAGGGATGGGTCCATCTCCCAGAGCCGGGGTCTCGCACCACCGCGTTCTCGTTCTTCTCCGGGATGGGGGGGCGGGTTTCGCAGGGAGCGGGTTGTGCAGCCACGCTGGAGCCACTCGCGTCCGGTGCGCTCCTGACTGCGGCCTGGCCTGGCAGGCCCCTTTGAACCCACCCGCGCGGGAAACTCGGCTGGAGGGAGCCCACGGACCCCAGAGCTTGGCCTCCATGGGAGGACAAAGGCGTCTCAGACTCGGCTTTTAGATGCAAAATTTGAAAACAAAGCAAACCTCGAGAAGCCGAGCGTACCAGTGCTGGCCAAGCCTCTGAAGGAACTGCGGCTCTGGGGGTCACGCCCAGCATCCGGGGGAGGATTTTTGGGGTCCGGGTACTTTAGACCTGTTCTTATCGGCGACTCTCGGCCGCGCGGGGCTCTCTGCCACTTTCTGTTTCCTCCGGTGCAACCCTGTCCGGGGTCCATTGCGGTGTCTTGTCCGGAGATTGGGCGCGTGGAGGCCTCAGAGCCTCGGGACTCGGGGACTGCTGCATCGCAGCTCCGGGCCTCGGCCCTCGCTCGGTGGCCCCGGTGGCTGTCCCTCCTCGTTCCGTACTGAGCCGGCTTTCCCAGGCCCAGGGAGCCAGCAGACCTGGGCGGCGCGGCAGCTCTCCGGCAGGACGGAACACAAAGAAAAGTCCCCTCCAGTCCGGTCAGAAGCGCAGCAGCGGGTACTGGCGACATAATCCAGCCCTTGTTTGCGTAGAAAGTCTAGTGGGCTTGTGAGAAAGGCACAAACGAGCCAGCGATCGGCCCGCAGGGGGTGGAGAGTAAAGCTGCTCCGTGAGCTCAAAGCCCGCGTCCCGAGAATCGCGTGCAGCCCCCACTTTCGCTCCTACTTTGAAATGTCTTACTGGGGGTGGGGGCGCAGAACAAAAGCCCAGCGCACACGACTCCCCGGAGGCCGTCGCGAAGCCTTGTACCGCGCGCGCAGCCTCCGACCCCACTCCGGCCCTCGGCGCCTTTGAAGCGGCAGGTTCCTGACCTCCCTCCCCTTCCTTCTTTCCCTTTGTCCTCCTCAGCGCCCTCCGGGGTTCGAGAGGCGCCGGCCTGGGTAGGGGCGCGCAAGTTCCTCACCGGTCCTGGGCAGCCCCTCCCCTAACCCTGGCGCCGGCAGCGCCTGGGCCTTGCCTGCGCCTCCCGCGCCCTGGCGATCGCTGAGCAGGCCGGCGCGGTGGAGAGGCGAGTTATTTGTTGGACCCGGGGAGAGTGAAACTCCCCAGAGGGAAGAGAGCCTCAAACCCCTTTGTATGCAGTTTGAACACAAAGAGAAGTCTTTGTGTAGTCCCGTTTATTTACAATGCAAAATTCTCCGAATAAATATTAAAAAAAGCTTATCACCTGAGCAAATATGTATTCACTTAATACATTATGTTTTCGGTTATAGATTAAATCAGACACAAAATAGTGTGCAAATAAGACAGTGTAGAACCCAGAGCATAAAATATAGCAATTTAAATGGTATTTACGAAATAGAAAACATCTTAATCGCTTTGTTGTCACGGTGGGATGACTTAAAAAAAGATTTTGATTTTCTGCAAAGTTCACAATTAAGAATACCTCCTTTCTATTGGAGCTGAGACCAAGCATTAAAACAATTCGTATTTCGGAAATAAGGAGAAAGTATTCGAAATGGAGGATGGCAGAGACTTTGGTCGCACGTGCATGGTGGTGTACAGTTTATATCGCGTGCTCGGTTGCTCCTCTCAGAGTTTGAAATTGTCTGCGATTTCACCCTGGAGTAGACATTTCACGACGGGAGGGGTAGAGGAAAAGGGAGAGGAGGGTCATTTTAAGTCGGCCTTGCTAGAGGTGGGGATGGAAGACCGAGGACCAGGGTCTGCTGGGACCCAGACACAGGAGAAAGCTGCGCTGTGTTTGGTCTCTGCTCCCTTCCTGCAGGGTCGATCTGGGTGCCACGCGGAGACCAGCCTTGGTTAGGTGATCCAGGGCAGGCGCTGAATGGAGAAACGTCGTGGCCGATTTGGGAGGCCGAGAGAAAACAATTTCTGACTCTGAGCCCCCTCCCCCAAAGCCCCCAATCCGCAGAGGAAGATCCTGGGCGAATTTGATTGGGGGGCGGGGTGATTGTTCCAGCCTCACTAGGAAGCTCCGGGCTCGGGGACAGCAGGCCAGGCACTGCGGCGTAGCGGCCCAGGTGATGCCGGTGGCGGTCGAGGGGCGCCCGGGGCTCCGGGACGCCAGTCTGGGGTTGTGGCACAATGCTTGAGGGTGGGGGGCCGGTCCCGCTGGGGCTGAGTGGGGGACGACATTCAAAAGAATGGACTGAAAGACGCATGGGGGGATGGGAGAGAGGAGAAAAGGAAGGTTATTTAAAAAAAAAAAAAAAAAACTCTTGAGTTACAATCAATAAAATTACTCGCTTAATTAGCATGGTTATTCGGTTAAGCGGAATGCAGTAAAAGCTGGACCTCAGAAAGACGGGGGTGGGGGGAGCGTGGACCCCGGGCTTTTTCCTCCGAGACACCTTTGGGCAGCGGGGGAGGGGAGAGGGTGTGTGTGAGTGTGTGTGTGCGCGCGCGTGCGAGTGTGCGTGATGGCTTCGCAGATTTGGGTTTTTATCACCCAGCGGAGCCAGCAGCCTCTTCGCAACGGCGCCTTCGCCGCAGGGACTCTCAGGGACCAGAAAGGGAAGCTGCGCGCGGCGCGGTTGGGTTGCTTCTGGCTCTTGCAGGCCAAGCGTGGCTCGGACGGTGCGTGTGTGCTCGCGGACCCGCGTGCAGGGCGGCTCCAGTGACCCGGCGCATAAGCGTGTGCAGTAGGGAGTCCTCGGAGCGCTCCCAGCCCCGCTGTCCGGTCTGGATGCCTCTCCGGTTGGCGCGCGAGGAGGGGGTTGGTAGCGGGAGGGGCGGGGACCCCCGGGCGAGAGGAACCCCCGAGTCACCGAATCTCTTCTGCTTGCCTCTGCAGACCATGGACCTGCACGGCGGCCGCCGGCTCGGAGCGCGGCCGCCCGCCGAGAAGCCCAGTCCGCCGGTGTGTTGACCGGCTCTGCTGTCTGTGCCGCCGGTGACCCCAGACGCCGCCTCCTGCGCGCCGCCCGCGCGCCGCCTGCACTCCGAGCCGCCCCCAGGCCCCGGCCGCGCTGCTTGCTGGAGGCGGCGGCGGGCCGGGGCCGGGGCCCGGTATGGATGGCCGAGACTTCGCGCCGCCGCCGCATCTGCTGTCGGAGCGCGGGAGCCTGGGCCACCGCAGCGCCGCAGCCGCCGCGCGCCTCGCCCCTGCCGGCCCCGCCGCGCAGCCGGCCGCGCATTTCCAGCCCGGAAAGTACTTCCCGTCGCCGCTGCCGATGGCGTCGCACACAGGTCAGTGCCCAGCCCGGGCGGGCAGTTGCGATGCAGAGGCCCCGCCGCAGCTGGCAACTGTGGCGAGTGCAAGGAGCGCCGGCCCCTTCGCTCCTCGGAGCAGTTCTTGGAGCTTTGGTTTCATTTCCCTGCGCAGCGCCGGGCGGGCCGTGCATTCTGCCAGCCCACGGGCTTGCGCCGTTTCCAGCAGCCTTCCCCGACTACCCTGGGTCTTTCAGGGCAGCCCGAGAGCAGGCAGCAAACCGAGCCTTCTACTCCTAGCCACCCTCCCCCCCACCCCTTCCTGCAGAAGTAAATTCTTGCGGAAGCCTCTTTTCTGCATTCTGCATTCACCTCGTTAAGACGTTCTGCGTCTGAGACACCGTGGCGCTTTCTGCGGGGGACAGAACGACCGTGTGGCTGGGGGAGGGGGCCAGAGCGCGCCCGGCCCGCGGATTAGAATGGTGTGCGCCCCGGGAGCGCTAATGGGAACTGCTAGTGTAAGACGAGAAAATCCTGTTTCTATATAAAGCCTTGAAGTGTCAGGGCGAGAATGGGTTTGCAGGGGATGCATGCGCTTTAACAAGTGCCTCTGGTATCCTGCTAACGCCGGACTAAGCGTGGCCTGAGTGCAGACCGCGCATCCCGCACCGCGGAACTCAGAGAGGCGCCTGGCTCGGGATTTCGGTGCAGGCGAGTCCGCGCGCTTTGGCTTCAAGAAGAGAGACCTTGAGCTGTCCTGACTAGCCCCGGCACGTGCCCGCGTTGCAGTCCCCTGTGTTCCCCTCCCGGAGGGTCTGTTGTTGGTTGCGCCTACCCAGTCTCTTGGAGAGAAGCCGCAGCTTGCGGGGTAGTCACTGACCAGCGTGGGTGGAGCTGGGGGAGCCCGAGGAACTGCGCGTGGACCTGCTGGGTCACTCTCGCAGGTCGGCTTGCTTTTGTTTACAGTTTATTCTAAACATCAGGAATATTATTTGCTGCTTTTATTTTTCAGTTTGGCAGTAACAGTTATTATTATTAGCTTGATGAACCATGAATACTAATAAAATTATATCTGCTTTAATGGGATAACAATTAGTGTGTGGATTAAAACGGATGGCAAGAACGGGGCTAGAAGGGAAAAATGTTGGAAGGGAAGGCAGTCAAAAAGAAAAAAAATGCATTTCCTTGAAAAAAAAAAACTTGAAATTGCTTAATTGCTAAAGGGCCTCCAGCTTTTACATCACGAGTTTATTCTGAGTGAGCAGCCCTGGGCTAGAGTGGCCAGCCTCCTGCGGGGTCAGCCGCACAGTGCCCGCTTGCCTTTCCAGCTGGAGCTCGGGGAGGCTGTGCTCTCTGTAGATCGCTTTTTTTTCCCTTTTCTCTCCATTTTCCCCTCTTCTCGATTTATAACTGGAAAGAGAAAGAGAAGTACTTGGCTGAGCAATTGGTGGTTTTAAAATACCTTTCCCCCATATCGTTGTGCTTATTGTCTATTCCCTCCGCTGCCCTGAGATGCTGCCCACTCGTCTCAGGGCCACTGGGGAGCGTAGGGAGGGCTTTGACATGGTGGTGGCTGCCGCAGGGACAAGTGTCCGGCTTCCCTTCCAGTCTCAGCTCCTGGCTGGGCAGGCTGAGTCTGCAGGGTTGAACCGTGGAGAGGAAGCCTCTGCCCTCTTCCCCCAGTGTGCAGTGCAATCCAGGCTGGTAGGTCACAGTGGTGCCCAGGCTGGCTGGGGCTGTGCCCCCCTGGGGCAGCCAGGCCAAGCCCAGTTCCCCATCAGTTCAGGCCATTGCTGCCTCCTGGCCTCACTGGCCGGTCCACAGCCCAGCCAGCTCTTGCTCAGCAGCCATTTCCTTCTTTTCACCCTTATTTCTAGATCTAGGTAATACCCAGTCAGGTGGGAATGTGGGGAAGTGGCCTGGACCTTTGTCTTGCTCATACTAACTTGGACCACGTGGTTCTTGGACTACAGGCCACCGAGAGCTGTGAGAAACTGCACCAGGTCCTAGTCTGTGACCCCACACCCTTCCTGCTTCCTTATACACTGGGGGCCCTAGAGGGCTCCCTCTTTAGTGCTGGAGGGCCCTGTGTCTTGTGCTTCTGAAGGCCCAGTTTCCATCCCCTTGGGGACCAGAGGAACCTATTGTGTTTGGAGATCCTGGACTTGGTTGTGATTCGAAGCCTGGCTGGGCTGTGTGGGGCTGAAAGCCTTTTGCAATTGCTAAGAGCCAGGATAGCCAGGATTTCGTATTCGTTTTTAGAATCTTGCTGCATGTATTTGTAAAACAGGAGTTATCTTGAGATCCCTGTACTTTAGCGTGTGTCTTTGTAGGTCCTCATTTAGAAAGAAAAAGGTGGGGTGAAGTTAAGGAATTTGTCTTTGGATCTTGTGTGTGGATTTTGTGTGTAAATTTCCAAACGGCCACTGTCTTGTACTCTCTCCCTCTCTCTGTGGATGGCCTTGGCCCAAAGGCCAAGGCTGCAGTAGTCCAGCCTGCCCCTCCCTGCCCCAACTGCTGAGCTGAAAGCCAAATTGCTAGGGAAGATTCTTCCCTGTGTCTGCGTAGGACGCAGACATCCAGGCTGCAGCCCCCGGCTCCCCAGAAACAGCTTCCTTGTATGGTGTGCTCCCCCCACCTGCCTGGTCAGGCACAACTGCTCAGAGGAGGCTGAGGTTCCCCCCACTGCCACCCTATTTCATTCCCACCTGGTGCTTTCCTGGTGTCTGCTTGTGGGACCCTAAAGGGGGTGCTGGGTTCCCAGGTTTCTTCCATTGTTTTCCAAAAATGAAAGTGCCAGTAGCTTTATATTCGAGCTGTAGAGTTTATGGTAAAAGTGCTGTTCCCTTAACCTTGTCACTGAGAGGTGCAATTAAAATGTTTGGAACCATTATTTTTAGTGCAGTGTTAGATTTTGTCTTTAATACAGATGGTCCGGAGGCAAAGCTGTGAAATCTAGGGATGGGGGAACACACAAAAAAGGAAAATCAACATGAACTAACCTAGGTTTTCTCCGTCTTACTGCCTGGAGTTTCTTGGGGATCTCTCCTCTCCAGGGGAACGGGTTTAATCAGGAGGCAGCTGGCCCCAGGGGAGAAGCTTGGGAGCTGTGTGCTCGCCTGCCCCTCCCCCCTTCCGGCTGGGTCAGCTCCTGTCCTGTCCTCCTGGAGCCCCCTAAGGCTGGGGCTCCACCAAGGGGCCGGTTCACTTCTTGGTGTGAATCCTCTTTTTGGACTCTTCTCCACCCCTTTTGGCTTTGGGATGTGATTTAACTTGGCCAGTGCAGCCGTGTGTCTTGGCTGCAACTTTGGGCGGGGGGGGGGGGGGGGGGCGTTCAGGCAGGCCCTTTCTGGAATAAGACTGCCAGCCTAGTTCCTGTTAAAGGCACTTTGGATGACCAGTCTCTAAAGTAAAATAATACAATAATCGACCACCCAAACTCCACCTAGCCCCATAGATTAAAAAAATTTTTTTTCTTGTGAAAAAAGACCCCATCGAAGGTGTTCCTCCCATCACATGGGGTTTTCTTTTCTTTCTTTCTTTCTTTTTTTTTTTTGTAAGAAAAATACATTTTCGTAAATACCTCATTAACTCCACTGCACGATAGAGTGTCTCTGCAGCAGTTACCAACATTAAGTAGGTGTGAAAAGAGTTACTTTCCGAGCTTCTACCCATCCTGCTCCATAAGTGACAGAACTAGACATCAAAGCTGCCGCCGTGCCCAACGGAGCCGCGGGGATCCGGGAATCTGGCGGCTGCATAGACTGGGATGGCTGTGGCAGCCGCGCCCGCTCCACCAAAGCTGTTTTTGGAATGTGGGTTTTTTCTCTGTGGGGCCTGTGCTGCCTCCAAGTCTGATCATTCCTATAGGGAAGCGCCGAGTTCTCCATTGGAATATCCATGTCACGTGAGCAATAAGGCAACTTGGTGGCCGAGGCAGGAGTGGCACAGTGCAGATAGCACATCTCCCCCGGAAAACGCCGCACCCCCAAACACTCCCCAGTTATTCTTAGAAATCTCCCTCAACTCCCTGTGAGACAGGGTTCAACAGCCCGAACAGACAGGACAAAAACGCATAGGAGGTTGTTAGAATAACATGGATGAAGCTAAAAATACCCCTCAGAAACACACATAAAAAAGCCAAATCCAACAACAGAACGAGCTAAAAATATTCCAGGCTTTGGCAAAGAGCACAGAGTTAAATAAATTATACAAGAGCCATTCACGGGAGCAAGTTGACTTTCTCTCTTACGGGAAC